TAGCTCAGAAGATAGCCCATCGCGAGTACTTTCAGTATTGCGATGGGCTATCTCCATCGCAATACTGAAAGTACTCGCGGTTCGTTGGCCATTTGTAACGCGACGCTGTTTACAAATGGCCAACGAACTTTGTGGACACCCTAATACCATCCCCTACCAGCGTGCATCAGCGTCTCCCAGCATTTGCCAGCGCATACCAGCGTCTCGAGGGCCTGGGAAGTATGGGTATCGATCACGCGTCTGCTAGCGTGGGCCAGCGTACACGAGCGTCCAGGAAAGAAGAGTGGCGCGATAGGAGGATAGCAGACAGCTGGTAGAGAATGGGGAGATAGTGGGGTAAGAGACTGCTTATTTAGAAGTAGTATAGTGGCGATAGGCCCCCACAAATCCTATCCGCAGCCTCAACGTGGCGTGGGGTGAACGGTTTGGACTGTTCCAACACCGTACCAATGCGGAGGGTGCCACGTCAGAGCCTGGCGAGCTACGCGTGGTCAAATTTCTTCTCGCCGAAAACAGTAATAATTATGGGCCTCATTCCCCTGAACCTGAGGGAACCACCGACAGGGCGACGTCGGCTGGGACCGCTCGGGCGAGGCTGCAAGAATCACAGGGCCAACGGAGATTTAAGTCGCCCAGGACTAGGATGACGATCTGTACTTTCAACGCACGGACGCTTGCATCGGAAGATCTGATGTTGCAAGCCAGGAAGATCAAGTACGACGTCATCGGACTGACCGAGACGAGGAGGCATCGCCCGCTACACGCCGTATACGAGACTGGAGAAGAACTGTTCCTCGGAACATGCGACAGCAGAGGCGTTGGCGGTGTGGGCGTCCTCGTCAACACGCACTTGGCCATGAACATCGATTCGTACGAAAATCTGACGACCCGAATCGGACGTTTGCGATTGAGAAGATGTGGTTCAACTCCGGCTTTGACAATCTTCGTCGCCTACGCACCAACATCAAGCTACGACGAGCTCGAAGCGTTCTATATGGAATTGGAGAAGTTCTACAAGGAAGATCATA